AACAACAGCCCCTGTTTTACCGGGAAAGTCCGCCAGGCCAAGTCCAGGCATATGACGTGGCTAGTCCTCGGGCCAACGACAAGAAACAAGGCAGGGCTAAAGTAAGACTTAACGGCAGTCCTTAAAGCAAGGCCAAAAGGCAGGAGTCAAAGCCACAAAGCCAATTCTTCCCGGCACAGAGTAACTCCCCCATGGCTACGTGTTAAGTTGCTCCATCCCCCAGGTGTTCCTTGTGAGGAGGGGTGGGGCGGCCTCCTCCCAAGTAGCCTTGCAGCCCTTCTCTGGGCCAGCCTCTACTCCTCCGTTGCCCTTGGAAGGAGTGGAGAAGGCAGCTGTTCCTCATCAGAGGAGATTAGCTACCTATCAGCACCGCAGCCTTGTCAGCAGCTGATCCTCCCCTGGGTCTGTGAAGGCAGGCAGCTCTCCGTCTGGTCAACCACTTCCCCCAAGGCCTGAAGGCACCAGCATGGTCCTCAGTCCCGGCCTCTGCAAACAGGCCAATCCCTGTCAGATGGTCCCATTTGCTCCTCCTCTTTGCAAACTCCCATTCCTTCTAACACTGATGATGTTACCTAGTTAGGTAATGAAACGCCTGCAAGAAAACAACCCAGCTCAGACAGCATGAAGGATTCCTTGTCTATCCTTGAAGCAAAAGTGCTGCTGTTGTTTTTTTAACCTCCTCCTCCTCCTCCTCCTCCTCCTCCAGTCCTCTCCCTCTTCCTTCTGGCACTGACGATGTTACCTGGTTTTGTAATGGAATGTCTGCAAGAAAACCACCAAGCTCTTTAGAGAGCTCCAAGGACCCCACAGTCCTCCTCCATCATCATCCACTCTCAAACCCACTCCCTGCTCGCACTGATGATGTTACCTAGTTAGGTAATGAAACGCCTGCAAGAAAACAACCAACCTCAAGACAGCATGAAGGATTCCTTGTCTGTCCTCCTCCTCTTCCTCATCGGGCTCTAATAGGGCCGTAACATTCTTTCTACGATTCTTCATCTCACAACCTTAAGGACTTGTTTGCCCTTTTTAAAAAAAACCCTTCATTATTCAGCTATAATTATCCTAATTTTGAAAGAATCTTTTTCTGTAGCGGCAGCTCAAAGATAAGCTTCCTTTCATATCAGTAGATGCATTCCTTCGTACTAATGACGAAGCATTCCCACGGTGGTGCAGAAGCATGTGAAAAAAGTTATTAAAAAGTTTGTAACTGGCTTTTAGCTTTGTAACGCATAAATTGTATACAAGACCACCTACTTTTTTCAGCAAGTCTTCAAGTGGAATATGGGGCAAGGTTGTATTTTAAAATGGGACGTGGGCGTGCAGGAAGTTCTTCTCCATTTGTGAAATATTTTGGGGAAAAGAACACATCCGTGAGCTTTTACAGTCAGTATAAATGTGAATTAAGCACTGGTTTCTTCAGTGAATGGAAACACAACTTAAGCTAATTTTTTCAAACCAGTATGCGAAGGGCTTGTCAAACTCCCTAATGAATTAATCGGCCCAAAACTGCCAAATGTGAATTGAAGGAAACCAAAGATTATTATTTTTGGTGGTGGAAGGGTGGCCTGCGTAAGATATATGTGTTAGAACTAACAAGATACCAAAAAGCAGAGTTGATAAGTGTTTGTGTAACAGTAAACACCCGACCAGAGATGATTACAAATCCCACTTCGTAAGGAGTTGCACAAATGCTGAGAAATTGAATCCCTGTGTTCACCGACAAATTTAACACAAGGACCCGTGTGTCGGCTATTTCGAGAATTTCTCTTGCTCTGAATTTCTTCGACAGCTTTGAGTGGAAATTCTGTTCTGACCTGAGCTTTCCCAGCAGCACGAAGCCGAGTCCTCGTCCCGATAAAACGCTTTTATTTAATTTACAGTGAATTCCTCTCCAGCAAAAGTCTTTCATCTCCCACAATCTTTCAAGATAGGTCACAATTACCAACCTTTATCAGGCTTGGAGAGTGGCCGGGCCGATGTCTTTCAGACGCCGCACTACTTGGCAAGAATGCAAGAAGGAACTAATGGTCTCCTGCAAACTCCACTCCCCTTTCGCTCCTCTTTTATTCCCTGTGGGAGGGGCCATTCAACGTCCACCTGTGGCCTTACTCCCCAGTCGACTCTTGTTCCTTAGCTGTTCCCTTCGTCTGGCAACTCTGTGCATGCGCACACCGGGAACAGGCTCCAGCTGTTCTTCTGCCTCACTGATCTCCGACTCTGAAGGCAGCTGATAACTGTCAGACGGCCCTGGCCCCCTCTCTGCCTCCGACACAGAGCCCTCATCAGAGCCTTCCCCAGACTCCAGGACTGGCCCAGGTTCCAACCACTTCGCTGTCCGAATCTGCTACCAGCACAACAAATTCTGCGTACTAGTCCAGCCTATCTGGAGGGTAGTTGCGTCCCTTATGAAGTTGTGTCCCTTATGAAATTTCCCGAGTCACAATTGCACACTTGTGAGAGAAAACTAGCAGTAGTATCTGAACGGTTATCATTCTTAACCACAGCTTTTATCTAATGGCCCAAAGTTAGGGTCCAGGAGCACCCCCAGATCTTGGGTGATTATCTAGTTTTAAAAGCAACAGTAACAGTGGGGGCAAAAATCATTTCTGAATCAGTTCAGACTTCATTTTTACCTGTTAAGCCTGAGCTACAGAGAAAGAAATGGCAAAAGGAAGAAATGGCTGAAATCTCGCCGCACTGCCCACTCACCCAGTGTTATTGTTGTGCCTTCACCCTCCAGAAGCCTTCGGGCTTGTTCTCCATTTCCCACAATTTGCCAGAGAACTACGGCAGGAGGTAGTTATTGTTGCCAGGGCCCAGTTTGTGCTGTTCCCACCGGTCTTTGATCAAGCTCCATGAAACAGGAGATGCGAGAAAGAAAGAAAGAAAGAAAGAAGAAAGAAAGAAAGAAAGAAAGAAAGAAAGAAAGAAAGAAAGAAAGAGAAAGAAATTAATTTAGCTTTTCGTAGCAGCTGCTCATCCAGGAAGAGGTTACTTGCAGTAAGTTTAAATAGCCGAAGGTGTTCGCCGTGTCATTTAGCTTCTCGTTGACTTTTCAGCCTTGGGTTGGTCGTCTGTGAAAAGGGGATGGTGTAAAATGTCAAACATTTTGGAAAGGGTTCAGCATGATGGGGCCGAGCAGTCAAGTTGAAAATGCATTTCTTCGTTTGTTATCCGGGAACAATTTGATTTTTGATTTCTTTTTTTCCAGATCTATTTCAAACTGGGGCATTTGCCATGGGCAGTTGGAAAACAGGGATTTGCCAAGTTGATAATATCGCATATAAGATGGATGGGTGGGTGGGTGGATGGGTGGATGGATTAGACGCCCTCAAGTTCTTTTTTGAGTCCTATCGATCACAAGGACAGATTTTCTCCATGATGATCTGTCCCCAACACTAACCTATTCTGTGTGGGGGTGTGAGAGAGATGGAGGGAAGAAAAGGAAAGGAAGGAAAGAAGGGGGGAGGGAGGGAAAACGAAAGAAAGAAGGGAAAGAAGAGGAAGGAAAAGGAAGGAAAGGAAGGGAGGATGAAGGAAAGAAGAGGAAGAAAGGGGAGGGAGGGAAAAGGAAAGAAGGAAGGAAGGGGAGGTGGTGCGGGAAAAGGAAGGAAGAAGGAAGGAAGAGGAGGGAGGGTGGGAAAAGGAAGGAAGGAAAGAAAGAAAGAAAGAAAGAAAGAAAGAAAGAAGAGGAAGGAAGGGGAGGGTGGGAAAAGGAAGGAAAAAGGAAGGGGAGGGTGGGAAAAGGAAAGGAGGAAAGAAAGAAAGAAAGAAAGGAAGGAAGGAAGGAAGGGGAGGGAGGAAGGAGGAAAGAAGAGGAAGAAAGAGGAGGGAGGGAAAAGGAAGGAAGAAGGAAGAGAGGGCAGGAAAAGGAAGGGAAGGAAGAAAGAAGGAAAGAAGAGGAAGGAGGGGGAGGGAGAGAGGGAAAAGGAAGAAGGGAAGGAATCCTGTATGAGATTTTTTCAGTGTCATCTTGAGAATACAGGTAGTCCTGTATAGGACTAGTGCAGCCTTCCCATAAGGTCGCAAAAGGGGATCTTTTGTTAGGCGACTGCTTGCAAGTGGAGGACTTTCGGTTAATAACGAAGAGCCGAGGTGGCGCAGTGGGTAGAGTGCATCTGCTATTGCTATTGCTAAAAGCTTGTAGTCCTCAACTTGCCACTGTTCATTTAGTGACCGTTCAAAGTTACAATGGCGCTGAAAAAAGGGACTTGTGGCCGTTTTCCCACGCTTACGACCTTTGCAGCATCCCCATGATCATGGGATCAAAATTCAGCCACTTGGCAACTGACTCATATTTACGACGGTTGCTCTGTTCTGGAGTTATGTGATGGGCTTTGGCGACCTTCTGAATAGCCAAGTCAATGGGGAAGCCAGATTCGCTTAACAGCCGTGTGACTGACTTATCAACAGCAGTGATTCACTTAACGGCTGTTGCAAGAAAGGCCGCAAAACCGGGCAAAACTCATTTAACCAGTGTCTCACTTAACAACAGAAATTTCCGGCTCAGTTGTGGGTCGTAAGTCAAGGACTACCTGTATTTTTATACTCCTGGCTGCTAAATCAATAAATGCTCGAAAGTGGAAATCCTGAATATATTTTATCATTGAACAATTGGTGTGATTCCCTGTGAATAGATGTTCTTAGAAAACTTACTAATAAAATTAGAATATTATCTTCTTAGAACGATGAATCTCATTTTAGTTATCGGGAAGGATTATGCAAGCTATGCTATTAATGGTAACACTTCTTAATTAACCTGGTTTTATATATTGGAAACTGGTTGAATGTGGAGATATTATTCTTGGAGGTTGTATGCTTGCCTCACAGAATTATAAAAGTAGAAAAATGTAACAGAAATAGCATTTATGTTCAAGAGCAAAGCAGAAAACCATTTCACAATTGATATACACTTCTATTTACTATGTAGTTTCATTTCTTTGTTGCATTTCTTTAAGCAAGCGAACAAACCGATTTTTCCTCCTTTTCCTTCCTAGTTCCACGAGAATTGGTCGAACTGCATCTGAAACTGATGAGGAAGATTGGGAAATCCGTCACCGCCGACCGATGGGAAAAATACTTGATCAGGGTATACCGGTTTTATATTCCTTTGGAAAATATAATATTGGATGATGAGAGCTTCACAGTGTTTAATAATATCCCACCTAAAGTGAAAAACGTCGGCGTGGATTTTGAAGTTGATTTGTGATCTGAACTGAACACCTGTAATTTATATTGCTTTATTTGTTTCTTAGTACGATTTGATTGCTTATTAGTAACCTATGACTATCACCAAGTGCTGTATCTCCTGGTTCTTTGTTCTTGTTTTTTTTTCCCCAAAATTTTTATTAGTAAAAGAAAAATACAACAACCAATAACTAGTAAAAGACAATACAACATCCACTGTTTTGCTTTACATTTGACTGCGTTTCAAGACATTCCCATAATATCANGGCGCGCATATGTCAATCACGCAATTGTTGGGTCACGTGCCAACACGACTCTCTTTATAAATTGGAACTTTGAGCAATACTTTGCCTTGGACTCTGATTTAATTTTGGATGTTATTTGGAACCCTGACATTAGGTTCACTTGGCAGCTGGGTGACTAACTGAACAACGGTTCACTTAACAACGGTGGCAAGAAAGGTCGTAAAATGGGGCAAAACTCACTTAACCAACTTAACATTCATAGGTGAGTTAGAGTTGCCCGTAGGCATTGCCATATACCATGTTTTCCCCAAAATAAGACCCAACCGGAAAATTAACCCAGACAGACAGATGCATTTCGTTATCGTATTTCCCCGAAAATAAGACATAATCAGAAAATAAGGCCCAATGCGTCTTTTGGAGCAAAAATTAAGATAAGACCCGGTCTGATTTTGGGGGAAACACAGTTCCTATGCTGTGAAGGGTTTGACGGGTAAGCAGATGGCTGCAGGCTGATGTGCACACCTCCCAAATCCCAACTTGGCGATGTGTGGAGGTGCGTGTCCTGCATGCTGATTGGTCGATCCAACTTCCTCTTGGGAGGTGGGTAGCAGGCAAAAAGCACATACAAGCAGCACAATGGACTAGATAGCTATAAATGCAATATCTATGCACCTATCCCTGAATGACAGAGGCACACATTCCTGACATGCAGTAACAGAGCAGTCTAATCCAGGCTTCCAAGGCCTCCCCAGCAAGCCAAGATTTCCCTGGAGTGACAAAAACACACTGCAAAGCCCTGATGGCAGCTCCATCCCTTATGTATTTGTGCGCAGTGTTCTAACATATGTACACAACTGGTGGAGAGAGTGTCATTTGCTGCCCTCTCTCCTCTGTAGATACTCATGGCCCATTAGCTGAATTGGTGGTGTAGAAGTCTGTGGGGACAATTAACCACCGTAATGAGAAGAGACATCAAATGCCAGAAAGAAATCTCAGTGCATTTTTTGTCACAAAGTCATCATAAGACAGACACACACAAGTGTTTATATTTCATATTGCCATAGTGATTTTTTTTTCCAGTTAAAAGGAATTAACAATGATCTCGGGTTTTTTTTTTCCTTGGAGGAAGGTAATTAATGAAATTCCTTTTAATTATGTCACAAACCCACATAAAGTCTTCTTTGCCATATTGTTACCAGTGGATGAATATCCATAGTATATTGAGGTGTGGGTGTATACACATACACACACTATGCATGTGTGTGTGTGGGTGTGTATGAATGTATGTGTGTGTAGGTACACACACACACACACACACACACAGAGTAAAGGTTCCCCTCATATGTGCTAGTCGTTTCTGGGGTAACATCTCATTTTCTCGCCACAAATTTATTGGGGTTCCTGTTAAAAGAATTAGGATTTGACAGCCCAAGTGCAAGAGGAAAATGTCTCCCTCCCTTCCAGTAAAAGGTAAAGGTTCCCCTCACACATACATGCTAGTCGTTCCCAACTCTAGGGGGCGATGCTCATCTCCGTTTCAAAGCCGAACAGACAGTGCTGTCCGAAGACGTCTCCGTGTTCATGTGGCCGGCATGACTAAATACCAAAGGGGCACGGAACGCTGTTCCGTTCCCACCAAAGGTGGTCCCTATTTTTCTACTTGCATTTTTTACATGCTTTTGAATTGCTAGCTTGGCAGAAGCTGGGATAAGTCACGGGAGCTCACTCAGTTATGCAGCAATAGGGATTCAAACCGCTGAACTGCCGACCTTTCTGATTGACAAGCTCAGCGTCTTAGCCACTGAGCCACCACATCCCTACATCCATCCATCCATCCATC